TCCTGCCTCCACCCTTTTTCCTTACGAGATTGCCCTCACGCACTTCGCGGTTCTTTGGAACGGCAGGGCCGTGTTCTGGCCGTTTTTGAAGATTTTGATGTTCAATACGACGACGGTACAAAGACGTGTCGGTGGTACCGACAAGAATATGTTCGGGATTTGCAGCCAGAGCCTGATCTGGATAAATTACGGCGACGCACAGATGGGTGGTAGCTGGAGGGCTTCTTAGAAGGAGGCTGCTTCTTAGGAGGCGCGGGCCCTATTGTGAAAAGCTGATCGGCGAGGATGTGAGAGTAAGGTGGTAATGAATTATATATTTTTTCCTCCCGTGGCCGTTGTGGCTCATAAGCTGGGCGGGAGGGTGGACGCACCTACTCACGACTGCTTTGGGTATGAAGATACGAGATGGTATATTTTCTGTTGTGTGTTTGCATCAAGTATTGGTGGGAGGGATATTGTGATCAGTATTTACACGGGTAGCGTGGAGCTGGATCAGTACTGCGGCTTCGAGGTTCACATTGTGGGTGGCCGTGCAGGTATCTGCTGGCGCTCAAGACTCCCGTCGTGTTTTACCATTGCACACTTTCTTCAGCTATCTACACGCTGAACACCATCACCTGCAACTTGGCCGAGAATCGCTGCCACGACCCGGACAGCAGCAGGGACAACGATATCTACTACGAGTTGGACGGGGACGCCATCTTCAGAGACGGCGACGCTATCATCAGAGACGGCAACATCATCACTACAGACAAGACGGCGACCAGGCAACAGCAACCCAACCGCGGACCCCTCTTCGTGGACAAGATCGGCAACACCCCAACATACTTATACTATATGTGCGTCGCCCCCCCAGGGGCGACGCGCGCACCGAGAAATCTTATAGTATATGCGTCGTGGCGGGCGCTTTCTGGCCACACCGCTCGGGAAACGATATACTACAAGATGGGTATACTATATGTTCGGGTCGGACGCGCGCCTCCAAGGAGGACATATAGTACTAGTATGTCTTCGTGCTTCCCACAAGAGGGCACCGTACACTACAACGGCGGCCCAGCCTACGGCGAGGAGTTCGAGGAACGCGCGGTCTTCGGCTACTATGCGAGCGAAGGGAAGTTGCAGAAACCCTACGCGGCCAAGCTCAAGAATTCCTTACATGGGCGAACGTGGAAACTCACGAGGAAGATGGCCGAGGTTGCGACGCAAGCAGCCTTGGTCAACGCAGGTGAAGCTGGCGATGGCAGCAATGCGACAAGCGTGCGAGCGGATCGCCCCACCAGAGATGGAGCAAGCTTTCGAGGTGTATTTCTGCAAAAGCTTTGGCAACATATCGGGGTCTGCGCAGTACTACATCTCGAGGCGGGAGACGAAGTATGAGCGGCTCAAGTCTCCATCGAATAATACGACAGTTAGCGAAGACCTGCTGACGCACTTCCGACTAAAGTTGGCCAATGTCAGCATGACCGAACGCACTGCTATTCTCGGGCAGTGCAAGCATGAGTACATATGGGATGGCGCGACGTCGACTATGTCCATCCAGCTGGACACGACGTGCAGAGACGAACGTGGTCACGGACGATATGGAGCATACCCGGCGGATTACCACGGTTACGAGGAGGAAGCCCTACTCGGATACGAGTGTGGCGTGCGTGACAAGGGCGGGCTTCTGAGCGATGAAAGCACGACGCGCTGGCGGCCGGCATCGACGAGTTCGAGGGGTGATTGACGATGTCGACCCCGAGGAGATCAGCCAGGAGGAGTGCGACTCTCTAGCGGCTGAGGCACAACGTCTTGGGTGGAAGGCTGGACGCAAAGGCCGCGAACCCAACTGTAAGCAAGCCTGGGAGAGGCTCGCAACGAGCAAGTCCAATCGAGGCTGGAAGGCCAACATCAACCAGCAAGGACCCATCAAGATGGGCGGCGAGCGAGCCGCAGAGAAGCCAAACCAGATACAGGCGCGCACGAAGTGCAATGCATGCCGCAAGAAAGTCCACTGGAAAGGGGGCCCGGAGTGCGAACAGACAAGGCCATCGGGTGGCAGATCATCGAGCAGCCTGCAGCATTGAGGACGAGGTGATGGCCGAGGCGCTCACGGGCGACCTGGAGGTTGTCTTTGACGTGCTGGGTGTGCGATGGCAGTGGCGGTGAAGCTACTGATGGTGGACAGCTCAGTTGACGTGGCGGCCGTCCAGATCGCGAATGATTTGCCGGCGAACGTGGAGACCACGATGGAAGAGATCACGAGTCCGACGAAGGCGAGGATCTACACCGACGAGCAGATCGCGAACACCTGGGCGGCGCCAGCGCTTGGGCACGACCAAGGCACACGATAATCTGAGGGCAGCGATGACCGAACGCCAGGGTCTGAATCAGGACAGACATGGCCCAGCAGATTGAGCACCGAATATTCAGAAGATAGCGCAGCAGCAGTCCTGCAGAATATCAAGGATCGAGCAGCACAGATCGCAGCTTTATGGGTCAGCTGTGAGAACATGGAAGC